AAGATTGCCAGACATGAAGCAGTCAATGACATCATCAAGAGAAGTTTGGCTTCAGCTGGGTGCCCAGCACAAAGGGAACCTCAGTTGTGCAGACCTGACAACAGTCAAAAACGCCCAGATGGAGTCACCCTGCAGCCGTGGAGGGAAGGTAAACAGGTCGTGTGGGACTACACGTGTGCATCCACATTGGCTGATACCTATCTACCTTACAGCGCAGCTGAGGGAGGCGGGGCGGCCACCTTCAGGGAGACCCAGAAAACTAACAAGTACAGGGACCTAGAACGTTGTTACAGGTTCGTGGCAATAGGCTCTGAGACTCTGGGCGCCTGGGGTAAATGTGCACTTAAGTTCCTGAAGGAGCTGGGCGAGGAACTTATTGGGAAGACTAGAGACCCAAGAGCGGCCAGTTTTATGTTCCAGCGCCTCAGTGTCGCTGTTCAGAGGGGAAATGCGTGCTGTATCTTGGGTACGCACCCGACCCCCGAGGAGCTGGACGTGGTCTTCGAACACTGATTGGTATATTGTTATATAAGTGTGTGTTTTCTGTAAACTGTAGCATTGCAATAAAATAAAATTTATATATATATATATATATATATATATATATATATATATATATATATATATATATCTTTTGCATAGCGGTTCGATTAATTACAACCAGACTGTCCAGCGAGCTCAACATCTGGTTCCTGGATGATGGCACTCTGGCAGGCACACAAGATTCCCTGCTAGAAGACCTACAGCTGGTGAAGACACGGGGGGAGTCCATGGGTCTCGTTCTTAACCCCTCCAAGTGCGAAATTATTGCATCTAGTGAAGTAATCATTAGAGCAGTGAAATCAGTTTTACCAGAAGCCTCAGTCGTTAAACCTACCGACAGCACACTACTCGGAGCACCTCTGGGCCACAATGCCATTGCTGCAGTCCTTGACGAAAAGTTTAGAGACCTAAAGAGGATGGAAGAGAGAATTGGGGACTTGGACTCCCACGATGCCCTCTACCTTCTCACAAAGTGCCTTACCTTGCCCAGGCTAACATGTGCTTAAGGTGTGCACCAACTTTTGGCAACCCACTTCTAAATCAATATGATGAGCTCCTCAGGTCAATATTCAGGAAGGCGCTCAACCTAGATTTAGATGACAGTCAGTGGGACCAAGCAACACTACCAGTGAGATTTGGAGGGATAGGCATACGAAAGGCAACTGAGGTAGCACTTCCAGCATTCTTATCCTCATGTACAGCAGCCAACGAATTGGTAGGGCAGATCCTACCAGAGCGTATGAGAGAGACAGCGGGAACTCATGATCAAACGTTCATCGAAGCAGCCAGACAATGGGACACCATTGCACACCCTCAACCCCGACCACAAGTCCCAAAAGACCACAAGCAGGCCCACTGGGATAGCCCCATAATGGAAAAGACTGTCACAGCAATGATTGACAACGCTGATGCTGAAAACAAAGCCCGCCTCCTAGCGGTAACAGCACCCCACGCCGGGGATTTTTTATTTGCTGTGCCCAATGCAGCCCTGGGAACTCGCCTCAGTCATGACGCTCTCCGCATTGGAGTTGCCCTTTGCCTTGCCGCCCCGATCCTCACCGAACATAGGTGCATCTGCGGAACTGCGATGGCAGACCAATATGGTCGTCATGGTCTGGTATGTCGTAAATCACAGGGTAAAATCGCAAGACATGAAGAAGTCAACGACATCATCAAGAGGAGCCTCGCCACAGCCCGCTGCCCGGCACAAAGAGAACCACACTTATCCAGACCTAACGACCCTCAGAAGCGCCCTGATGGGGTCACCTTGCTACGTTGGAAGGATGGTAAGCAAGTGGTATGGGACTACACGTGCGCTGCCACACTGGCCAGTACCTACCTCCACTACAGCACACGTGAAAGCGGTGGTGCTGCTTCTTTCAGGGAATCGCAGAAAATTATTAAATACAGAGGTCTAGCACACTGCTACAGCTTTGTTCCGATCGGCTCGGAGACCCTCGGTTCGTGGGGAAAATGTGCATTGAAGTTCCTGAAGGAATTGGGGGACAAATTGATCAGCGCTACAAAAGACCAGAGAGCAAAAAGTTTCTTGTTCCAGCGCCTCAGTGTTGCGATTCAGAGGGGAAATGCCTGTTGCGTCTTGGGCACTAGTCCAACTTCAGAGGAATTCGAAGAAGTGTTTGACTTGCAACAATGATCGAACCCGTCTGTGACATTCATCAATGTTTCCCATTGTTGTGTTTTTCAAGAGATCCATAACCTTTAAGCACCTTTTTGCATTATTATTTTTGTATCAACCCATGTATATCTTGTAACCATCAAATGCATAATAAAGCACAAAAAATAAAAAAGGAAGGGGGTGGTAGGAGAAAAGCACACAGAAACTGTATTGGAGGGGATCTAAACATTCCCTCTAATGCGTTATGCGTGGTTTCCTCCGAGGCTATGGGTCCCCCTTCTTCCAGCTAGAGGTATATATATATATATATATATATATATATATATATATATATATATATATATATATATATATATATGTATATATATATATATATATATATATATATATATATATATATATATATATATATATATATATATATTTATTTATCGGGAAATGAGTGTTTATAAGAAAATGTTGAGCAGATGCAGTTCCAAGCACACCAAACTCCTGGCTCACGCCTAGCAAACACAAATAAAAATAGCCTCAAAGCAGTGTTGCCAAAAACCAAGAACTGTAGCCAAAAGTAGCTAATGTAAACAGCTAAATAACGTTATTGGGCTCTGTAAAGCTCAAGTAGGCTACAGATAACCCAACGAGGCAGCCCTGTCATAAAGGCAAAACACCGCTTAGCTGACGAAACAAGACTGGAGCCAGACCGACTAGGACAGCGACCGATTGATTGATTGATGAAGATTAAGCCACCCAAGAGGTGGCACGGGCATGAATAGCCCGTAAGTGGTGGCCCTTTCGAGCCATTACCAGTATCAAAAGATGATACTGGAGATCTGTGGAGGGGCAACTGCACCCTGCGTGACGGGAGATGTCTCCCGGACCAAGTGGTGACCAAATGGTGGCAGCGACCAAGCACCATCGGAATAAAACTGAGGGTGAGGCGGCCCGGCTGACCTGGTCCGTCTCTCTAACCACCCATCCCCAAACAACGAAGGGGTGGGGGGGGAGGTGGTGTAAACTAACTCACAATATTTTCACAAAACTTTAGTGGTTTATTTTTATTGTTGAGAGAGTTCTTTTGACAATTATTAGAGGCTACAGTATCGTGTTAACCATGCAGTAAGTCTGTTTTTTTGTCTACCTTTCTGAGTGCTTCCCTGGTGGTGGCAATTATGAATACCTTTAAGTGTAAAGTGTTAAATTAATAGGTCATTAATCCTTGCGCCTCTAAGGGGGCTAGGTTCTGGCTGGTGGTCCTTAGTAGGCCAATATAACTAAGCGACTGTTGAAACTTAGTAGTATGGCGCTGATCAGTGTATGATAGCCTCACGGAGCCTCAAGGAGTCAAAGGTACCTCCCATTTGGCCTGATGATTTTTCCAGTTGGACTTTAAAATTCAATAGAGTTTTGGCATTTAAAACTTTGGCAGGTAAGCAGTTCCATAACATTATAACCCTGTGAGTGAAAAAGCATCTCCTGTTTTCAGTTAAACATTGTGACTTGTTAAACTTGAAACTGTTGCATCTGACCTTTTGAAGTAATTGTCTGGATCAACATCCTCTAAATTGTTAAGTATTTTAAAAGTTTCAATGAGATCGAAAGACAGCAAGTTTTCATCCATCCATCCAGCCCAACCGCCTGCCTGCTCACCTGGTCCCCTACATCCATCCCACCTGTCTGTCCACCTGTTTACCCCACCCACCACTTGCCCCGCCCCACCTACAAGCCCGCCATCCTGCCCACCTACAAGCCCGCCATCCTGCCCACCCACCATCCTGCCCACCTACAAGCCCGCCATCCTGCCCACCCACCATCCTGCCCACCTACAAGCCCGCCATCCTGCCCACCCACCATCCATTCTATTGACCTCCCGCATATGAAAAGTTACCAACATTATTATACCCCTATATTTAACAACTTGGGTATAGCCCTGTATAGGTTATTAATCGAGTGGATACTGAATAAATTAATATTTTATTTTAAAGTTCCGTGTATCATTAGATGTAGTTTAGATTAGGTGTTTAGGTTCTGTTGGTGATTATTTGTACATGGGTGAAGGAGTTACAGAGCTGCAATTCGAACAGCGGTCATCAACAAAACAAGAAATGTTCAAACATCATCCATTGTGAGTTGTATGTAAACCACTTTTCTGTTATAAAAGTGGGGGTTTGGCCGTTGGATTAACGAACAATTGCCTTTTGTTGATGAGGATGGGCTGTTACAAACAACTAACAACTGAAGACATTCGAGCATTTCTCAAACAGTGCTTCGCTGACAACCAAGTTCGAGTCGCAACGCTGTAAATGCTTCACCCACGTACTTCAAATGCAAATAATCGTCAACAACACCTAACCTAACCTATGCCTAACTGTACATAGAACTTATTAATATTAATATATAAATTAAAACAAATCTAGTTTCAATTCACAATACGTTAAAATCGATGAATGCATCTTGGGGGACATCTACAACTTTAACGCGTCTAGCCTGATGACAAGTTTCAGCCAGATCAGCCCCATATGCTGTCGCTTGAGCGCTCACTCACCCCCTCTGGCCGTGTCAGAGCAATGTCTGCCATCGCTCTGACACGGCGAGTCGTTTGACTGGTGATTGTATGTTCATCTAAAAAATTTCTCTGCTACTCCATTAAAAATATTTTGAAAAATTACATACTCTAAATGATAAACATAAATATTACATAAACTCCAAATATGAAAACTAGATCTTTATAATTGACATGAAATGTAACCTTTAAAAACAACTCACCACATATCCTCTATTATATGCACATTGATCCTCTATTGCAAGTGCTTCAACTAACCTGTTCGGGCTCATCCGAAAGCTTCATAGATTGTTGAACAAGTCCAGAATTATCAACTTCAGTCCACTGAGCAATACGACTGCCTGAGGGTGTTTCTATCCATACTAGTGGATACTAGTTAAAAAAAATTTAATACATAATTAATCTTTAACCATGTGGTACGTTGCATAAATAAAATGGTGCCTCTTAATTTACATTATCTCAGTAGTTGATGTGTAGAAAACTAAAGATAAATGATCAAAGACAGACTGAATTAAATAAAATATTTAAAATGGTAAATTAATTTAATGTTGAAGATTTAACAAAGCCAATTATATAAAAACATTGTACATAAGAAGTTTATTATTTACATATTACCTTATCAGTGGAAATCTTAAGTAATGGTCCCACAACTGTCAAAATTCTAAAATTTACATCTTGACCAGGCTTGTACATAAATTTGTCAGTCTGGATAAATGTCTTCGTTACAGTCTTTACAAGGGATATAGTTTTCTTGTGGTGGATTTTCTTCCCTCCTAAAGATCCTGTCACTTCCAACTGACCTTCATTACTTGTCAGAGCAGGAACTAACACTTTATCGCACAGTTCGCTTTTACCTGCATATAATACAATGAAAATTAATTTCATGTTTTTTAATTAATATATATATATATATATATATATATATATATATATATATGTCGTACCTAGTAGCCAGAACTCACTTCTCAGCCTACTATTCAAGGCCCAATTTGCCTAATAAGCTAAGTTTTCCTGAATTAATATATTTACTATAATTTTTTTCTTATGAAATGATAAAGCAACCCTTTTCTCTATGTATGAGGTCAATTTTTTTTTATTGGAGTTAAAATTAACGTATATATATGACCGAACCTAACCAACCCTACCTAACCTAACCTAACCTATATTTATAGGTAATGTTAGGTTATGTAGCCAAAAAAAGCTAGGTTAGGTTAGGTTAGGTAGGTTAGGTAGACGAAAAAACATTAATTCATGAAAACTTGGCTTATTAGGCAAATCGGGCCTTGCATAGTAGGCTGAGAAGTGCGTTCTGGCTACTAGGTACGACATATATATATATATATATATATATATATATATATATATATATATATATATATATATATATATATATATGACAGTGTCAGACCACGGAGGAAAATTGAAACAGGAATTTCCTTAAGTACTTTCGTATATTAATACATCTTCAGAAGGAGCCGACTCCTTCTGAAGATGTATTAATATACGAAAGTACTTAAGGAAATTCCTGTTTCAATTTTCCTCCGTGGTCTGACACTGTCACATTTTTAATCCCGCGTTTATTTTTCGTGATTTACACACACACACATATATATATATATATATATATATATATATATATATATATATATATATATATATATATATGTCGTACCTAATAGCCAGAACGCACTTCTCAGCCTACTATTCAAGGCCCGATTTGCCTAATAAGCCAAGTTTTCATGAATTAATGTTTTTTCGTCTACCTAACCTACCTAACCTAACCTAACCTAGCTTTTTTTGGCTACCTAACCTAACCTTACCTATAAATATAGGTTAGGTTAGGTTAGGTAGGGTTGGTTAGGTTCGGTCATATATCTACGTTAATTTTAACTCCAATAAAAAAAATTGACCTCATACATAGAGAAAAGGATTGCTTTATCATTTCATAAGAAAAAAATTATAGTAAATATATTAATTCAGGAAAACTTGGCTTATTAGGCAAATCGGGCCTTGAATAGTAGGCTGAGAAGTGAGTTCTGGCTACTAGGTACGACATATATATATATATATATATATATATATATATATATATATATATATATATATATATATATATATATGTCGTACCTAGTAGCCAGAACTCACTTTTTGGCCTACTATGCAAGGCCCGATTTGCCTAATAAGCCAAGTTTTCATGAATTAATATATTTTCTCTAATTTTTTTCTTATGAAATTATAAAGCTACCCATTTCATTATGTACGAGGTCAATTTTTGTTTATTGGAGTTAAAATTAACGTAGATATATGACCGAACCTAACCAACCCTACCTAACCTAACCTAACCTATCTTTGTAGGTTAGGTTAGGTTAGGTAGCCGAAAAAGTTAGGTTAGATTAGGTTAGGTAGGTTAGGTAGTCGAAAAACAATTAATTCATGAAAACTTGGCTTATTAGGCAAATTGGGCCTTGCATAGTAGGCTGAGAAGTGAGTTCTGGCTACTAGGTACGACATATATATATATATATATATATATATATATATATATATATATATATATATATATATATATATATATATATATATATATATATATGTCGTACCTAGTAGCCAGAACGCACTTTTTGGCCTACTATGCAAGGCCCGATTTGCCTAATAAGCCAAGTTTTCCTGAATTAATATATTTTCTCTATTTTTTTTCTTATGAAATGATAAATCTACCAATTTCATTATGTATGAGGTCAATTTTTTTTATTGGAGTTAAAATTAACGTAGATATATGACCGAACCTAACCAACCCTACCTAACCTAACCTAACCTATCTTTATAGGTTAGGTTAGGTTAGTTAGCCGAAAAACTTAGGTTAGGTTAGGTTAGGTAGGTTAGGTAGTCGAAAAACAATTAATTCATGAAAACTTGGCTTATTAGGCAAATCGGGCCTTGCATAGTTGGCTGAGAAGTGCGTTCTGGCTACTAGGTACGACATATATATATATATATATATATATATATATATATATATATATATATATATATATATATATATATATATATATATATATATATATATACTGCATTAGCTCGCTAGTTTGGACTATATGGGAGGGATCCCAGTCTGAATGGGATCTGTTATTTCAGTTAGAGTCATCTTAGATTACAACATTCTTACGATTTATCTTTTTACAATTTACAGTTGCCACATTTTTTATACAAGCTTATTAATTTATGCCATATATATATAATGCAATTTACCAACTGCCGAATCTTACGATTTGTTTCCCGGGCAATTGATATGATCATTTTGTATCCTCCTATCAGATGTTACAGTTCCTTTATTCACTATAATCAATTTGCCGTTATGATTCAACCAATGTATGTTAGCACATTTATTATCACAATTTAAACATTACCTCATTTTAAATAAATCTGTTTATATTAACTATTGTTACTACATTCCATTCTCTGAGTGTAGCAATTGGCACAAAAAATATATAGAAACGTTTTTTATATTTAAAATATATAAATTAAGCACTTTCTTATTTAATAATTCATCCGCCAGAAGGGTGGATTTACAGTTCAGTGGGTTGGAAATATAGACAGGAAGGAGGTGAGGTATATGTCTTTAATGAGATAAGGGGATATTAATGAGGTATTAGCGAGATAAATGTGTATCAATAATCCTACTAAAATTGCCCTTTAACTAATCAATCAAAAATGGATCTAAATTATACAAACCAACTGCTAATGTTCAAATTACATGATTTTTGTAATCTGTATTAAAGCAGATTCAATTATGTTCATACTGAAAATACTTTTACAATTTGTTTTTGAAGAAGCCCTCTACCAAGATATTTGGTGAGAACTTTATTATTATTTATATTATTATTATTAAATCTTTGTTATCTCATTTAATTTGCAACTCTAGTTGCTAAATTACAATGAAGTTATATGATTCCCATTATTCCCATTGAGGCCTTTCAGCTTACACCCGAACAAAATAAAAACATAAAAAGTTGATAAAAAATATTATTAATCTAAATTATAAATTTTAAATACAGTTTTAAACATATAGTAGCTAGCTTATGAGAGTGTACAATTGTTGGACAAAATTTAAGGAAGACTTAAGAAACTAATATTTACCTGGTGGAATTTGGATGACCCTGTTGGGCACCAGATATTCCTGATCATTATTACTGGACTTCACAGCAACTGTGATGGTATTTTCAGTAGCAGTGTTGTTCAGAGTAAAGACACACACTTGAGCAACCTCTCCAGATATCCACTTGCGAGGCGTCGTGATGACGTAATTTCTATGGCAGAAAATACATCAAAATTAGTTACCTTTTGATTTGCTTATATTACAAATTTTAAATTTACCCGAGGGCTACTAACTCTAGTAGCCTCGATGAGGACAGGAAGCCAACAGCTTGTCAAAGATTACCAAATCTTTTGAATATTAAACATCAACATGGTATTTAAAAATGTAATTTACTGATATAATGTATATTTGTTTATAAACATCTATATAAATGAATAATGAAACAAAAATGAATAAAGGCAAATGAAACAACCAGAAAACAGAATGTAGTAACTCTTTGACCAATGAAAATGTCTGAAACATTTACTATCATTCATAATTGACCTTATTTACTATTACAGTGATACCGCCGTTTTCGAATTTAATCCGTTCCTGAAGACGGATCGAAAACAGAAAATTCGAAAACCGTAACGAATTTTCCCATAGAAAATAATGTAAATTGAATTAATCCGTTCCACACCTCCAAAAATATTAACTTAAAAATACATTTTATACATACTACTACTTATATTTTGTACCACAGTATGTACAAGTATATCTTATCTTTATTGAGGACTCATGTTGGTGTATGGAAGACAGTGAGGAAAGGGGGGGGGGGGGAAGGAGAGCTGTTATTGTTTGAAGGGGGGAGGAGAGTCCCCTTCCATTATAACAACAGTGATGACATTTATGGGGTACTCTCTCTCTTTCTTTACATTTTGTAGGCATACCACTAGGACCTGGTTGTGACCTACTGCTTGCTTGTCTTACTAAGAATATGTTTACAGACACTTGTTGTTCCCTACGCTTTAACACTTGTTTGTGGTGAGACATCACACTAACACTATCTCACTATGAATGATCTCTTGTTTATCATCTATCGTCACACGACTCACAACTGCTGACGTTCGAACATATCCGGAACAAGTGCTTCACTGACGAATTTTGTTCGAATCACAACGCTATAAATGCTTCACCCACGTACTACAAATACAAATAATCGCCAACAGAACCTAAACACCTGACCTAACCTAACCTATGCCTATATATACACAATATGCCAATATATTATAATATTAATTTATACTTGCGAAAATTCCCGTTTTGAATGAACAGCATGTTAAAATTTATGAATGCGTCTGTGGGGTTGACCGCTGAATGTAATGGACTTGAGTCGAGGACGGGTTGGTGTGTGTCAACAAACTCGAGCACCGAGGCAAACCTCGAGTTCCGAGTCAAATTTTTCTAAGAACTTGAACTAAAGAACCAAAAATATTTAAAACAGGGGCATTCGAAAACTGGGGTTCCATTGTAAACACAAAAAAATCAACTTCTTGCCATACGTCCCATGGTAAGGTAAATATATTTACCCGAGGGCCACTAACACTTTAGCAGCCTCGACAAGGACGAAGACAGAGGGAGGAGGGAGCTGCGCAGACAGCGGCGCAGCGGCGGTTGTCACATCATGCTTGTTTGCTTGTTTTTCAATTGAGGAGTTCTGCTTGATAGTTCGACTTTCGGTAGCAAATTTTGAACCATGTGCGGTTTGTTTTGAAACCCAGAGGTTAACAGCTAGACTGTATGTATTTATATATATACAAGAAAGTATGATGACAAAACCACACATCAGAAAGTGAAGAAACGACGACAGTTCTGCCCGTTTTGGACCATTTTTAAAGCCTGGACCGACATTTTGGTCCAGGACGGACTGAAATGTCATTTCTTAACTTTCTGATGTGGTTTGGTCATCACGTCTTCATCCACGTTATTGTAACTCATCGTCTGCATACAAGCAAGTAGACTGAGTTGTAAAAGCACATACATTGTTGGTCGAGTGTTACATTCTTACAACACCCACCAACATGCATAGCATTTAAGGCATGTCCTTAAGCTAACAATAAATGTAATAAGAGGTACTGTACATTTAATAAATTGGATTCAACATAATAACTACATTATAAACTGATAGAATAGAGTATACTGAAGTTGTATGTCTTAAGTACTAAATTGAGTGTGTAACACAAAATATATTGTATGAGTTAATAACACAAGGCGGGAAACTATCAGGACGAAATTAGGTACTTTTTGGTTCTACTTTTGAATAAAGTATAGGTTGGTAATTTTTTTAATTCATTAGGGAATGTTTGTTGTTGGTTAAGGGGCGACGACAATCGAGGGATCGAATGCGCCCCGACTGCTCGATACAGAGAAATAGCAAAGAGCGATGGGATCCCTACAGTCTCTTCAGGGCCACAGACATGATGAATGAAGCGGAAAGTATGGTGAAGCATGTAATAACGGGCATCTTCGTCTCTAACACCAGCCCCCTCAAGTAAAACGGGAACCGTGAGGTGGGAAATATTCAACCTACGAACGGCACTCTGTAGTCTGAGTATGAAATCGTGGGGCAGTGAAGGTGTTGTACTGTATCCTCCTGGGTCGGTCACCACTGGCAGTATGGGGAATCTACCATCCATAGACGATGGAGATGTGCAGCCAGGCAGGTATGGCCAATCTGGAGACAAGTGATGGCCGTGTTGAGGAGTCGAGAATGGTGACAAATCCATGGATGCCAAAAGCCCTCCTCCCAGAGGCCCACTAGAGAAGAGGACCTAAGTGCTGGTGCCATTACTGCCTCCCAACTCAAGAGGCAAATCGTCTGGAGTTGCGGGAGAGTTTCGGCAAGGTCCAGAGGCACATGTGTAAAGTCCTGGAGACCATGCACAATTCCTTCTGCTATGTCAGCCACTTCATTGCCATTAATACCGACATGTGATGGAACCCATTAGAGAAAGATCGACCAACCCGAGTACCAGAGTACGACAGCAGTTCTCCATGGATCTGCGACACAGTATGAGAATGGACTAGTGGACGTCGAGATGATATCAGATGCAGGGCTGTAAGAGTCCACATAGAAAACCACCATCGAGTGCCCTGAAACTTGTAGAAGGCGTCGTAAGGCCAGTAAGATTGCAAACAGTTCCCCCAACTAGGCACGAATGAGGAAGGGAGAGCTTCCACATCTGACAGAAGGAGAAGGGAGCAGAGTATGCAGCCGCATACTTTGAATGGCGGCTGATCAATGCAGGACTCATCCGTGTAAACCTCCAAGTATCCAGGGTATAAGAAGCCTCGCAGGTCTGCAAAAATTGAAGGAACCGAACCCTCTAAATCCCTCTTCTGATGAGGAGGCTTGGAAAAGTTCATAGACACCTGGATATGTTCCTCTGCCCACGACATACCGGAGAGATGATCAAGCCAGGGGTGTATGCAGGAACGGGATCCAAGGCCCGGATGACGAAAAATTAGGTTAAGTTGTAATCAGCGCCCGGAGTGTCCAGCAGGCATATTCCACCAGTTAGCCTCGAGTTGCAGTCGAGTAAGTGGATGGGTAGCAGGGAGACGCACTATCTGTTAAAGCCGATGACAGATGGCGAGAAGACTTTCAAAGCGCAGGGACTATAACCCCGACTCGGCATGGAGAGAGTGAGGGCATTGCCTCACTCATTGCCACATTGCCTCATTGAGTGAGGGCCTCTTGGAGAGGAGGGCATTGTCCCTAGTGCTGACCAAAGGGCACCAATTTGGATGGGATCCAGCCTTGCCAAGACCGATGCTGCTGCTGAGCCATAGACTTCACTCGCATACATGATCTTGCCATGAATGAAGGCCTTAGAGAGAGAGCTAGGAACAACTCCTGCAAAGTTCCCCATGCCGCCCCAGAGAGCCGTTTCATGATGTTCACACAACATAGGCATGAGGCCCGAAGGTAATCCACACGATGCCTCCTCGTCAGCCGAGGGCCATCAAAAACCACCCCCAGCCACCTGTGTCCCGTGGCAACTGGGAGACGACAGCCCCCGATGGTTACCACTGACAGGTCTGGCAAATGGGCCCAGGAGCTCATGATGCAACTTTTCACCAGGATAATGGGGATCCCCCTTTTCCAGCACAATTGCAGAGAATACAGTCACAGCATCTGGCAGGGAGCCTTGTGCCTCCAGGAGAGTGGCACCATATGGCGTGAGGGTTACGTCATTGCCATAGGCTAAAACCTGGACACCCCGAAATATCGGGAGATCAAACAGAAGAATAGAGAATAGGAGCTGGCTGAGAATCGCTCACTGGGGGACACCATACGAGACAAGGTGAGACGTGGAGATGACACCAACTACCACTTTAAATGAGCAGCCCTGAAGATAGCTTTGAACTCAACGCCGAACTCAAGAGATTTAGTCGTGCCAGGCCCTGAAGGACAGAATGAGCCGCAGAGTCAAATGCACTCATGATGTCGAAAAATGCTGCTCTTCTCCGGCGATAAGTGTTCATTATTCGATGTGTCAAGAAAAAAAGGCAATCTGCCAAACTTCTTACCGGCTGAAATCCACTGATACCCCCAGGTAGGAGACCTAAGGTTTCCACTACCCACTGTAGCCAGAGATAAACAAGGGGCTCCATCAATTTCCCAAATCATGGAAGCAGACTTACGGGCCGATATGAACTCGTGGATAGTCCTACCTCCCAAACTTGGGAAATGGTAAAAGAATGGCATGTTTCCACGGGTCAGGGAAGACACCAGAGGGCCAGCAAGCATTGTAGAAATGAAGGAGGTGGGACTCCTGGGCCTATACGTAGACAAGAGACTCAACTTCAGCACCCATATACAACACATAACTAAGACAGTCTCTAAACGGTTGGTATACTCTAAAGTCAGATAATATGTTCCAAACTCTGCTCTCCTCTCATTATACTATGCACTAATCTATCCCAATCTTACATATGGTATCTGCGCATGGGGCTCAACCTCTCCAAACTACCTCAAGCCCATCATCACCCAGCAAAAATCTGCTATCAGAACAATACAAACTTTGCTTTCAGACAACACTCAGCCCCCCCCCCCTGTTTAAATCCCTAAACATGCTAAACATAAACTCACTCCACACATTCTCTCCTGCCAAATACATTTACAAAACCCTGTTCTTAAGTGTAAACCCTGTTCTGAAACTCTTCCTA